CATGCCAAACAACTGTGAACAAATCGATATTGGGTGGCACCCAACATTGCATAATTGGGCCTAGCTCTGATACCATGTTAAGAATATTGGGCCTAACTCCACCTAATAAAATCGGCTTATTAGGGGAGGATTACACTTACCTTATTAAGTGGATCATTAATATTTTACCAAGTAATGTGGGATTATAATAGTACTATGCATATATACACCATAAAACCACATCGTGCAGATTGGGCAGCAAATTTGTGGCGTTCAGTGGGTGACAGTTGGACAAAAGAAACACAGCTAAAAGCACGAATGAATTGTTTACTACCGAATAAGTAATGCTATATAGAGTTATATTGCACAGTCTGCATAAGCAAGCGATAAATCAATTAAACTGCAGTAGACAAAGCTTCAACTTAGATTTTAGACGGAACAGAAGATTCAATTAAGAGAGTACAAATAACATCCAAGAGACACCGAATCTTGGGCTCAACCACCCCATTTTGTAGAGGGGTGTAGGGGCAAGAGCGATGTGAAATGATATCCTTCTACTTTAAGTAGTTCTCCCGAATCAGAATGTAAGACTAATACAAGCGAAGAATTATGTTTTAGTTAGAGCAACAAAAGTCAAACACAAATTACATTAGCCTTAAATTGAAGAAACGCTCAGGTGAAACGACTTTAATTGTCGATGAATGTTATAAAGACTTGTATTGAACATGTGAAATGATTAGGCTAACACCCTAAACATGAGAATGAATGACCTTAAAGCATTTTGTAGCACGACTTCCATTGATAGGAAAATGTAAGCTCTTCTTTTGCTAAGTTTCCAGGTAGCATAGTCGAAACACAAACTAAGGGCTGGAAATTGATCTTTATTCCCAAATGGCCATGTTTCATTAGATGTGTTAATGCTGTAGAATTTGAATGACTCAATCTTTTATGTCATACCCTCACTTTTATTTGATAATGTAGTACAAGCCAAAGACATTAAATTAGGAATAGAAAAATGTAGAAGAAATAAACGCCCCACTTTAGGTCCATTCACGATCATCGTCCCGGACACTTGATCACGCACAATACAACCACCACGAAAAAAATAAACATCAGGGTCAGTATCCACCAATTGGTAGATAGAAATCAAGTTTGTAGACAACTTCGGTGATACAAAAATTATTTGAAACCATGTCTAAGAGTACGAACAACAGTAATATGAAGCAACCTGCATTTAGCAATCTGTGGCCCTATTTGTTTCGGATTAAAATTAGATTTTAATCTAAGTGAAAATCAAACAATCAATATTAACCACATCTTTCGTGGGTTCCACAACTTTTTAATCACACATTTCAAAAACTTCTATCAAAATCTACTAAAAATCTAATTTTAATCCTCACCAAACGCACTGTATGTATTGGGCACCTTCATACTTGCTAATACCACGTAACATATTTATATTACTAGTCGTAAGGTTTGAGGCACTCGAATCCACGAACAAGGTGGGAGTTGAAAATTCTTACCTTGAAGTCTAAGCCCTTATTTGGTGCCCATTGTTTTAAAACTATTTTTGCTATAAGATTATTTTTTAACACATTCACACAATAAAATATTTTGCACATAAACCAAAAACTTTTCCATATTTTTTAACTATATATTCTTCTAAAAATAATATTCAATTTTTTTTTAAATAATGGGCACCAAAAAGGGGCTAAAAGCTGACATAATCATTTCTTGTACCATCTTGGGTGTGAGTCCGGGTTGATTAACACCCACTAGTCTAGTCGAGGTGGCTGCAACATTTCGTGAAAGATCTGAAGCCACCAGTGGGATTTGATCATTCATATGAAATGCTTGTGCCTGTCTGTCTTAGGGTTGTATAGGACATTCCTTAATGATATGGCCATCCTTCTTACAATAGTTGCAGTATTTCTTGCTGCAATTCCATACATGTCCATATTCCTTGCAGTTGTAGCATTGAATTTTTGATTGGTTTTTTCCTCTTCTCTGAGCGGCATAGGGTAAGTTCACCACCTTATGGTTATAGGCCAATTGAACGAGAGTGGTAGTTTTATCCAGAATGACCGGGTGGCTCTCTTTGCCCTTTCGATCGCCTAAACTAAAGGAGGATCTAGCTGTGATTCATGTTTCAGCTGGCGAGTTTTTATTAGCAAGCTTGATCGGGTAGTTTTAAATTCTGATCTTAACTTCATCATAAATTGATATCTCTGACTTTTTACTTGAACATTTTGAAATACACCTAATGCTTCTTGAGGAACTTAGCATGAATAATACTCGCTCCATAAATTAAGAAACCTACTATAGAATAGTTCAATAGACAGATGACTTTTGCTGTAGTTAGCAATCTCCAACTGCAGCTGAAACCTTCTAACATTGTTGTGTAAACTTTAGATACTTCTCAAATACTCTCATATCTTTTTTAGCAGTTGTGAATGAACAATGATTTTTCACCACGTGAGGTTCAATAGATCACAACTGCCATGACACAACTCTTACATCCTTTCTTTCTCATTAAACGAGATCTATTCCACTGCTAGGAGCTTTACTCTTGCCATCTATATAGCACCATAACTCCTTCCCTTTCACAGATATTCTAATTGGAAATCCATGCCAAATAATATTTTCCATTCCAACGCACAATGGTGTTTCTTGTGACATCATTAAACGATATTGACTTCTAAATTGGAATTCCCAGGTCAAATGATTTTTTCCTTTAAAATGCGCAATATTGTTTTTTCGTGACATTATGAAACAGTATTGACTTCTAGTGCACATAAACTCCAGAAAAAAATTCAGGCTGCAACAAACTAAATCAATCACTGCTAATAAAAAAAGCTTAGAAAATTTTCGCCACAATATCCATAAAAGATTGAACTCACTAGGCATCAAGAGACCTTGAAAAAAACTACAACTAATGCCTTCAAACTCCAGACATAAAGCAGCCAAAAAACAACAAATTTTTTTCTAAGAAAACACACCACTAAGATCCACAAAATTGACTAGAAAACTAAAGAGCCTCCCAAAGGGCTAACCTAGGATACTGCGAGAGATTTAAACAACAAAATATTTTGGTTCAGAAAATAGCTCTGATATCATGTCAATCTGTCTGAATGTGTATATTTCATTGTGTTAACTAATTTGGAACTTAACTTGAAAGTCATATTTTGACTCGGGCGTTTTTGGGATGCTACTAATAACCAACGAATGGCAAGTACTTTTCCTTGGATTGGTATATTTTTTCTATATCCGTAGTTTCTGGAAATTGGAAACGGATATTCAAAAATTGATCAATGCTAGAAATTTGAAAGATCATTTTGAAATATGAAGGCTTTTGTTAAGGTTTACTAAAGTGGAATATATAAAATGTTCTTTTAGCCATAATAGAGAAAACATATGATTATAGTTTGAAGGAGTGATTATATTAGGAATTTAAATTGAATTGTTAATAATAAGACTTAAACAAGATGAAATGCATGAGTTTAAAGTGGATTGAAAGAAATGGAAACGTGATATGCGTTTTACGTGGTTGGAAGTTACTTGTCAAGTTAAAATATCAATTCTAGAAAGTGAATAAATTATTATTAATTTTAAAGAACAGAATGCCCATATAATGCACTTTGTATAGAAGAGGACCTTAAGATGGATGTGTTGCTGTGATAGGATAATATAAGAATAAGGAAATATAGTAGGAAGAGGTGAAACCAGGTGAGAATAAATTAAAGGAAGGATAACTTAAATTATTGGGAAAATAATTATGGACAAGGAAGCTCTTGTTCACAAGAGTGATGTGATCTCCGTGCAGATTTTTAGAAATGAGAGAGGTAGAACAATTCTTATATGACATAATGTGGAGATATGACATAATGTGGAGACAACTTTTGATTTTATTTTACCTTTTTCTAGAAGTCGTATGGGATAAAATAGATGGGCTGATCCCATGTTTATGCCTAAATCTGTTGTTTGTCGTGGAAAATAGGCATAAGTGATTGAACAAGAACATTTCTGTGGAGTTACTGAAATGCTATAAATTGAACAGTTTAACCTTAATGTCATTTTCTTCATAACCACCAATGAGCTTTGTTGAAGAAACCAACATCATTATATAATTCAATACATCCTAAACCTGCTTTTTTAGGTTTTGTTGTTTATGTTTGGCATGTGTTGAACTGATTTGAAATATATGCAGGAAGAAACTGGGGAAGGTTTAGTCTTGGCAAAGCACAACAAAGGATGCCATTGCAAGAAATCAGGATGCCTTAAGAAGTATTGTGAGTGCTTCCAAGCAAATATTCTTTGTTCTGATAACTGTAAATGCTTGGACTGCAAAAATTATGAGGGAAGTGAAGAGAGGCAAGCTCTGTTTCATGGAGATCATGCCCACAACATGGCATACATCCAGCAGGCAGCAAATGCTGCCATCACTGGTGCTATTGGATCCTCTGGATATGGATCTCCTCCATTGAACAAGAAAAGAAAAGGTCAGGAACTCTTCTTTGGATCAACAGTAGAAGATCCTATGCAGAAGCTCCGGCAATTTCAAGCGGTAAATATAATTTGTAGTGTTAAAAATTGACATACTTTCTAGAGTGGTGGAAAATCATTTGTCTTTTTATCTGAAGAATACTTTCTTTCTATTTACAGGCAGACCAAATCAAGGCTTCTTTACCTTCCTCTTCATTGCCATTGACTCCTGGTGCTTGTGCTGGCAATGCATTAACTTTGGGCCCTTCAAAATTTACCTACAGGTATAAATGTTATCTTCTATCTGAAAAGTCATTCTTGAGTGCTAGTTCAGACAACTGACAAGTGCATGATGTCTTAAGATCTCTCCTAGATGGTATCATTCAACCCCAGGACTTGAAGGAACTTTGCTCAGTGTTGGTGATATACTCGGGAGAAGCTGCCAAGATGCTTGCAGGTACATGATTTGTGAAGAATCCCAAGTTTCTCAGATCAATCATGTTATTTAAATTATCAGCGCATCTTAGTTCCTATTGTTTATAAGAGGCATACTCTACTAGCTAGCAATGAGATATGTTCAGAAAAATTCCTTCAAAATATTGACAAAAAGATGGAGGCCTTCAGCAAATCTGTAGATTGTTGTATGAAGTTTGTCAAATACACAAGTTAATACTGAAGAATAATATATTCAGTGCCAGATAGTTTTATTTAAGATATCTAGCAAAAACTTGGTTCACGTAGTGTTACAGTTCCTTCGATAGTTTCGAGCAATTTGGATCCCAGATAATATATTAGGAACCACCTTTAGATACTGAAGTGCGTCTCTACTAAATTATATTTCAAGACAATGTGTTTTATTCCAAAAACATAAGAGTTATCCTTCGTGGCATTTCAAAAAATGCTGATGAAGTACATCTACGTACTTATTGCTTGTCGATAGATATGATTAAATGTTGCCCTTTTCAGTACATGAAAATGGTCTAAATAATATTCTTCCAGGCGAAAGAAAAACGGCAGAAAACCGGGCAGAAAAGCCTAGAGAAAACTTGCCGGCTTCATCAATGCAAGATCAATGTCAATCCCCAAAGAATGCAAGAGCCGAGAAACCTTTGATTGATGATCTCTCAAGTGGCAACCAGGCTGGGACGAAAAACTCTGAGGAGTCTACTTGCAATGGAGCTGATGACTCACAAGGAAGGCCGATGTCTCCCAGTACATTAGCTTTGATGTGTGATGAACAAGATACAATATTTACTCCTGCTGTCTCTCCTAATGGGCTATCAGGCCATAATAGCGTGACTACACAGTTACTGAATAGGCAAGACCTGACTGAAACCTATGCAGAGCAAGAAAGAATTGTTTTGACAAAATTTCGTGATTGTCTTAACAGGCTCATCACTTTAGGAGAAATAAAAGGCTAGTTTATGTTTCCTCTTCATTTTGCATTTTGTCCTATAAATACACTCTTTACATTGGTCATTTGCAAAATACTGACTCATTTGTTGCATGTGCAGAAACAAAGTATTCTTCCTTGTCACAAACAGAATTGCTTCAGCAAAATGAGCTAACCAGCAATGGAACAAAAAATGTGAGAACTGATACAAGGAGTCCACAAACAACCAATTAGCAATGGTGTTGGAAAGTTGGTGTTTAACCAGCCAGGACATCTTCAATAGGTAGTATTGCAGCAGTAGTTGCTGCCAATAATGAGCCACATTCAAAAAGTATCTGCCCCCAGTGCACGCTGTGAAAATGGGGTTGTAAAACCATAAACCAAAAAGAGATGTAAATGTTTAGGTCAAGACATTTACACAGGAATATGCTGATCTCTGTAATATTAGGCTGGTCTTTGGTGCAGCGGCAAACGTTATATAGTGCCCATTGTTAGCTAGGATTGAGTANCTGGTCTTTGGTGCAGCGGCAAACGTTATATAGTGCCCATTGTTAGCTAGGATTGAGTAATCTGAAACGTTTTTTAAGAATTCACTGATACATTAACTAAATTTAAAATTTTACAAATATTATTGCAGAAGTTTGTTAGGAACATGTTTAAATGCAAATTATGTGGCTCTTGGTGACTTCAAACTTGGGCGTTTTGTAGATTAATGATCTATAACCAGAATATACACATGACTAAAGTACTGATTGAGCAATGCACTAATTTTCTTGAAATACAAATGTTAGATTAAAAAATATAATTTTTCTTCCCCAAACCTCCAGTCTCGTAGCCTAGGGACGTCAAAAGGGCTGGGGCGGCCCTTCTGATCCCCTATCCTACCTAGGGATTTTCGAGACGGGGGGCGGGAATTAAAACTCCATCCGCTCTCATAGTCTCGTGCCCCAATTCAAACACAGGTCTAGATATGAAGATGGACTGCGGATGGACAGTGAATGGAAGAGGGTGGTGACGAGTCTATGGGAGTTGGAGTGAGGGAGGAAATTTGATTTTCAAATAAATTCTATGGAAGTTGGAGTGAGGAGGAAATTGAATTTTCAGAATTTCGTTTATTTTATTTGAAAGTGAAGGTATGATAGTTTTTATCGCTCAATGATCTGTGATCATGTGAACTCCACTTCTATTTCATATAATCGCCAAGAAAAAGAATGTGTAAAATTTTGTCGCACATTAATCCTTATCTATACGGAGCGTTAAGAAATGATACATGTAGCTTATCTCAAATTTATTGAGGATGAGCCAGTTTTGTAGAAAACGTATAGTGCAAGAAAACAAAAATTGAGATAAGATCTACAAGGAGACCAAATAGTTATTTGGTGCATTGACACCTACCTTCACTTGCTCAAGATCAGCTCTCTAGCACCGTGTAAGAAATATCCATTACAAGTACGGGTGAGCAAAACTCGATTGGACCCATCAAAACCGTCCAACTCGATCGGTTTGGGTTGATTTTTTGTTGTTTTTACACGGGTTGGGCGGGTTACCTGTGTAGTCGGATTGGGTCACGTTAACTCATGAAAACCGAATAAACCCGCCCAACTCAATCCAACCCAACCCAACCCAACCCAACCCACTTACTTATAACAAAAACAGAAAAAGAAAAGAAATAAAATGCTTAAAAAGTAAAATGAACCTAAAAAATATAAGTTGATAGTGTAACTCTAATTAGTTTGGTACATTTTACAGGAGAAGTTACTTCTCATTCCCATAAGAAATGTAATATAATTTTTCCATGTTATGTTAAATGCACTTTGTTCTTTGTTTATTTATTTATTTATTTACTTATTATTTAATCTTGTTTATTCGAATTTAGTATAATAGACAATTGGATGACTTTAATTTTTGTGACAAATTGTCACAAATCGACCAACCCAACCTAACCCGACCGATACTTGATTGGGTTGGGTTGGGTTTCAACCTTTACACGGGTTGTGTTGGGTTAAATTTTGATCAAACAGATCATGTTGGGTTGGGTTGGGTTGGGTTGGGATTGAGACAAAAATCGACCCAACCCATGCCCACCCCTAACTACAAGTGAAGAAATTATTGTTGGAAAAATTGAGTTGTGGTTGACTTTGACACAAATTTTGAGCGGGACCCATTTGGCTATTTTGGAGGATGAAAGTTGATTTGTGTTCTCCTCCGTGAGTATATCGAAATCATATACTTATTTGTCAAAAGTGATGCTCAGGTAAATGAGAAATTGAAACTCAAAGTATGCCTTGTGAAGAAGTTTATGTTGGTGGGAAAACTTAAAAAAAATAAGTTTGTCCCACATAGGAAGTAGTTGAAAACTAAAACCACTTTATAATGGATTACATTTTAGAGTGGTGTAATCATGCGTAGTATAGAGGCTTTCTCCACGTGCGCGCAGGGGGTGCAAATCACAGACCGAAAGAGGCTTCAGATCTTGAACTTATGTGCGGGCGCGACCTCCGTACACGAATATCGGACCGCATTGACAAAAAATTGGCCCTACATTTTTTTGGTTGAAACTCCTCTTGTAATTGCCATTAGTTAATGGGCAAGTTATCAATTTTATAAGCCTATAAGTGACTTGTTTTCCACCTTTCTCAACACATCGAAAATCATCTGCATACAAAATTTCTATTTGCATAAAGTCCTTGTTCAGTTTATCTACGTACAATTTTGATTTTGTCCGATTAGTGATATAGATCAAGCACAAAGTCGGTTCGCTAGAGTGGTATCTATAGTGCTCGGAAACTACTGGTTCTACCATTGTATATTGGGAAACGGACGCTCAGGTTAAACCTCAAGCATAGACGGTGAGTGAGCGAATCTGTTTTAAGGAAACTGTGTAACACAGGCCTCGGGTTAAAAATTTTCTTTTTATTTAACTTCTGCAAGTGTTTGTTTTGTCACTCGTTTATGCAAATTTATATTTTGCATCTCTACTTACAATTTTATTACTTGTTATACTTTACTACAATATGACACATTATTGAATCAGCTAGAGTATTAAATCTGCTATGTATAATTTATTTATAGTTGTTGAATCTGCTAGTGCATATCCGGTAAGTACATATCCTGTTAACGGCAAATATGGTGTGAATCTTCCACTTATGGCAGAATTTCAATTCAATAAGGTGTGTCCGCACCTTAAGTAAAATTCACTAATACGGTATCTATTCTGCATATTCGGTACTCAATTAGTAAATCCGGTATTCTGTTTCGTGAAGCTTGTCCAACAATATCCAACAATTATAGTCCTTGCCACTATATACTAATTTTCTATAGACATTTTTGTTGCTGTATTACTAACTTTTGCAAGGTAATGTTATATGTTGCTTAGTTTTAGCTTGAATGTAATCATGAATGAAAAATATTTGTCCTCTGTACCTTTTTTTAGCTTCGCATTGTTTATTTAATAATTTTCTTATGAACCATGCTACATGTGGTTAGACACCTTGATTTACATCTACGTGAGTTGATAAATTTTGATACATTAATTTTGATAACACTTTTTCTAATCAACTGTTAGATTTTTGACACATAGAGGAGTGTTAACAAAAGTGTATAGTTTGTGTGTACAAATAGTTTAATCCTTTTTTTATTAACAAATAAATTAGAGAATTCAAAAGAGTCCCTCTCAGAATGATATCTTTAATACTGTGGCAGAAAGTATACGTCTAATTTTTAATAATAAACATATTTAGTATAGTATTTTTTTTTCTTTATTTTTCATTAAAATTAAGTTTAACACCATTTTACTACTGAAAAAATCAATAATGTGATCATCAAATATTTTTAGATAGATTAGGGTACGGATCGGCCTCACTCTTTACGCCACAGCTTTGCTCGGCATCTTTTGCTGATTGTCAGCCTGGTGAAATAAATACCGCTACGTCGATCTTTTTTAATAAAATCATCATGGAGTAGATCAACAAAGCCCAAAGTGACATCTCTTTTCCCTTCAAGTTTACCTACTACAGTACTAGAGTGAATATGATCTTCACCAGGCATACATAATGCTTTAACTAGTACATGGAAGTGTACACTATGATTCTTTTGTCTATCAATAACTGCATGCATTGATCTTGTCCAAATTATTATGGGCATAATGTGTTATATATGATCATGCATGCAATTGTGCAAGAACTTCTTCTGGTGCTTCCTGCACAGAATGAATGTTGTCAACTTGCCCACTAAATAATGAATATGTCCTAATTAGAGATGAGAGTTTGTTTAATTCTTTAATGATTTATAAGTTTATCGTGCTGCATCAACCCGACCTATATAGGATGGCTCGATAGGCCACAATGAAGCATGTTTCTTTTGTTGAAGTGTAAAGTGTATTGTGCTGCATCAATCAGACCTTCTTTAGAATGGCTTGGCCTGCCACGCCAAAAATTGCGAGGCATTTTTAACTTTTCTTCTTTGATTTACGGTTTTTTGAACGGTTTGGCACAAGTTTCCATCCTAAACATCAACAACAAGAACATGAAGTTAAGTAGCTGCTGTTTTATTCTATACTTTGTTACTATTAATCAACAAACACGTTATTGAATTAATAATTACCCAAATAATTATTTTCAAGCCTACAGATAATTAACATCTTTCGTCCTAAATTTCAGTAACTAATAATTGTTGAAAATAAGTTTTAAAACTTTCAAATTGAAAGTTAAAATTTCAGTCTGTTGTATTTTAATTTTTCAGTTTTGATTTTAATTTTCAGATTCAATACAAAATTTAATCTCATTATTATATTTATAACTTATTTTTAATTTGATTAATTTTCATTATGTGAGTGTTGAATTTTTCTACTATAGAAGGGGGGTGAATTTTCATTGTCTTACACACAACAAAAAACAAACATTTGGAAAACACTATCTTGTGATTTCATATTATCTTTGTGACAATTGATAAGGGCTTGTTCTATCTCTCCCTGTGGTTGTGCTCATAGAAGGAGAACTGGCTACGAGCTATAAAGATTTTATCTTGGAGTTGTGCAGTGCCGAAAGTATCCGCACGAAGGGGAAGCCACACGACTTTAGGACAGCGTTCATCGCAACTATCTTAGGCCAGCTTTTCTAACTTTATTCTCATATTTATATTATTTGATTCATGTTTGTAGTTGATATTTTATTACACAAATCACATAATTTTTACAACAATAATGTCCTAATGCCAATACTCTATTTAAATACAGGTCGATGAGTTACTTTCTACAAAAACAATTTGTGTTAGCAAAACCATTAAATTAATAAATTCTTACTATGCAATTAGACTGTTTGTGATTCTGTCTTTGTTCCTTGTGGTTATGTTGATGAAAGCAAAGATCACATTGGACGTTGAATTAACTGAAAGATGTGTTAAGCAGAGGAATGACCGCTCGAGGCTTTTCGGGCTCAGTTTATCAAGAAACCACCAAAATCAACGCCACCAAATCACAACCCAATTGCAATCTTCACCCAACTCTGGTTGCTTTTCTATTGCCCACACAGGACACACAATGAGAGGTTATTGCAGCCACAAAGGCTAAGAGAAACATGGAGAAGAACACTGCAATAGAAAGCACAAAGCTGAAGGAGCAGTCAAATTTTTTCTCAAAAGAGGGCTATGACAATAACATCTCTCACACAATAAAAAAGGGCTGCCAATATATAGTAATATATTAGGCTTTTAGGTTAGGCAATGGATTAGGCCCAAAAGGAGAACAATAGATAACCAACAAGTGGGCTAAACACCCAAAGCCATCTAAGGAGTGAAGGGTCGAGCTATGAGCAGCTCTAATTGAATTAGGCTACTTTCAATAGCCCAAAATAGTTATAAGTTCAGGTCGTTCCATTTGAGATGTCGATATTTCACTTCAGTCATTTGGTCGATGCCGACTGAAATACTAATGATTTAACATTATAGCCCGGAATGTCGTTTGACAACAATGTGTCCAGCAAATCTCTACATTGGTGTTAAAGGACCTCAAAATATACATTATCACCCATTAGTTGTCAAAAATACTCAATAAAAGACTCGATGCCACTCTATGTGAGAGATTCTCTCATTATATAGAAACCAAAATAACAACTAAATATGGTAGTAATCAATTACAATATTAATTAATGGTAAAAATAATCTATCTATAATAATCGTAATCTTTGACGATCTTTGGAATCTTTTTTAATCTTCAACGATCTCCGTAATTTTATTCAATCTCATTGACATCCCCCTCAAATTGATGTTGGCAAAAGCATCAATTTGCAATCATGAACTAGCGACAGTGACAATTCTTGTGCCAACTAAGAAGAAATCTAAATCAAAGCAATCAGCTTCGAAAATTAGTGACGACGAGAGACCAAAAATAACAAATAGTGCAATAACCAACAAAGAACACTCCAAAGATACTCCAGAGAACTCACACTCCCCAAGAAGAATTTTCAAAAGAAATTCACGAATTGTGCCGACACACACAGTGAATTCTATCTGTCGGGAGAACTTAGTCGAACACATAATTCGGGTTCCGACAAAAGCTCTAACGCCAAACATCGGCCAAAACTCCAGATACTGTAGGTGGAAGAAATCCCACAAAACAGCCTACACCAAAAATCTAAAGATGATCATCCTCTGAGAAACCAAAACTCTAGGTCATTACCAGAGCAACCAAAACTCAATGGTCTGTACTCACAAAAAGTTAACGGTCAGCACTCCCATGTCTCCTTTTTTTTAGTAGTAATATCATATTATAATTGCTAAATCCCTCGTAAAAAGTAGTCAAATCTATTTCTCCCTAATTTTAGCGGAGAAATTTCAGTCCACAGTAAAATTAATCAACCAATTAACAATAAATTCAAACAGCCCAATTATCCAAACCCTAGTTAAAATGGAGAGCTTACTAAACAAAGCCCAAATCTGGCCAAAATCCAACCAAATAGTTATACCTCACCTCAAAATATATCCAGACAGCCCACTATACTACACTACAACCCATGGCCCATTCCATAAATTTAGCCCATCTATAACCACACAATACAAATATATCTACATGCCCAATAACCTAAACCCAATCAATCCACATAAATACCAACTTAATGTTTGCCCCTTTCTTCATGTGTTGCTTTTCTTGTTGGTGATGGAGTAGTTTAAGATGATTTAGTAGAATCCTCACCATAAGACTCAAAATGGGAGCAAAATTTTTTTTTTCATCAGCAACAAGTGCAGGGGTTTCTGTGGTTTGATTTTCCACAATAGTGGGTTCAACAGGTTGGAACCTCCTCAATAGGGTCCGAACTGACCCCTTTTCTCTGTAGCATGTTCTAGTTCTTTCCCATTTCCTCTAATACCTTTGTATTTGCCAATCTTTTCTTCAAAATTGGTCCCTTTACTACCATTTGTTGCAGATGATTCACTTTTGTTTTCCTCAATTTGTAACTGACAACTGGAGTATGTAGTAAGCTTATTCATTATTTTGATTGAGCGCGGTATAGTTGAAGAAGTACTCTTTTTAGAGGGTTCAGCCTCAAGAACTTGTACTGGTGGTATGTAGGGTACAATAGCCAGTTCCTCACTGACATCCAATTGAATTGGCTCAGAAGGCCTTCGGGCAAGAGTGGCTATCCTCCGTTGTCATGAATTGCAATGAACAGGCTTCTGGCTGTAGTACCTTTCCCAAACTTGTCCTTGTTTGTAATGTAGATGAAAGCTAATATCAGGAAGCGTGTAGGGGATTNAAAATCATCCAAAGGTTATGGGTCAGGCCATAAGTAACACTAATTAAATTAGGCTACTTCAAATAGCTCAAATATGTTATATGATTGGTTTGAATATTGTGGTGTCGATATTTTACTTCAGTAATCTGGTCGATACCGACTGAATAAACAATGACTTTACATTATCGCATGGGAGGTCGTTTGACAACAATTGGTCCAGCAAACATTTACCTTGGTGTCAAAGGACCTGCGAAAATTATTACGCGTTAGTAATAATTTAGAAAATGAGAACCAATAAAAATTGAAAATTATTTACCTCCACCAATATTTAGAAGATCTTTGCAACTTCTAAATTTCATCAATGGTAGCACCTTAGTGCCCACGTCTAAGGTATTATATCGTGTGTATATTTTCTCAAGTCTTACAACTTCTTGTGACGCAATATCTCTAATGAAATGCAGTATAACATCAATGTGTTTGATGAGTTCGTGAAAAACAGGATCCCCGCATAAATGTATAGATGTCTAACAATCAGAATATAGTACCACATAATCATTTAAAACACAAAGTTCATGAAGCAAGTCTCTAAGCCACAGCCTCTTTAATTGCTCCAGTGGTGGCAATATATTCAGATTCTATCGTGGATAGTGCAACTATGTGTTATAACTGTGATTTCCAACTAACACAAGAGCTAGACAAAGTAAACACATAAGAGGAGGTATATTTTCTATTATCTCTATCCCCACATATTCCGCATCTACAAAATCCTTCGACTTTAAGCTTTCTTTATTAACACCAAACTTTAGACCTATATCACTAGTTCCCTTTAAATACATTAACATACATTTTAAGGCTTCCCAATGCTCGGGACCTGAATTATACGTGTATCTACTAAGAGTACTAATCGTAAAAACTAAATCTGATCTAGTGCAGACCATCAAATACATAATAGATCCAATCACATTAGAGTGTGAAATCCTACTCATGTATCTATTTCTTTTTCATTACAAGGAGCCGGATCTTTAGATAATACAAAATAATTAGCTAAATGTAATGTAATAGGTTTACAATCATGTATGCCAAATTTTCACAACACTTTTAAAACATAAGATAACTGATGCAAAAATAAAGTAGAATTTGACATATCTCTTTCAATTTCCATACATATGATTCTTTTAGCTTTTTCTAGATCTTTCATGTCAAATTCACCATTCAACACTATTTTTATCTTACTTATCAACTTAAGTGATGAACCAACTAAAAGCATATCATCTACATATAGCAACAAAAACACAGTCATTATTAGGGTCATCATGTTGGAAATATAGGCAATAATTAAATTTACTCAGTTGAAACCTTATGGTAAGTACAAAAGAATCAAATCTTTTATACCACTGTTTAGGTGATTGCTTTAGGCCATATAAAGATCTTTTCAAGAAGCACACATTATCAGGTTTTAGTTTGTCTCTAAAACCTTTTGGTTGATTCATAAAGATTCACTCATCAAGTTCACCATGTAAAAATGCAGTTTTTTACGTCAAGTTGTTCAAGTTTGCAGTCAAAATGTGCAATCAATGCAAGCATGACCCTAAAAGTGGTGTACTTAACAACTGGTGAATAGATTTGCTCATCAAGTTCACCATGTAAAAAAGCAGTTTTTACATCAAGTTGTTCAAGTTCCCAGTCAAAATGTGCAACCAATGCAAGCATGACCCTAATAGTAGTGTGCTTAACAACTGGTGAAAAAATCTCATTATAATCAACCTCCTCATTCTGTGTGTATCCCTTGGCCACTAACCTAACCTTAAATCTTAAGGGTTCAGATGTGCTAATACCCTTCTTAACCTTAAAGACCCACTTACAATCAATTGTAGATTTATTCGTAGATCTAGGTACTAGTTTCAAATTTTGATTTTTTCTAAGGAACTCATCTCATCTTCATTGCCTTAAACCACTCTTCAAATTATATTCTTTTCATCGCCTTCTCAAAAGTTTTTGGCTCTTCATCAGCTAGCTCCTCATAGTTAGCATGAGCAAAAACTAACTCAGACTCGTATGCAAATCTTCTAGGTGTTCTTGCCTGTCTTCTCTCTCTATCTCTAGCTAAGTTATAATCTACTAAGGGAATCTCTTCCTTAAGATGCTCTTCTATCACTATTTTCTCTCTATTCTCCACCTCAGGATGCTGAACCTGAGTCTCCACCTCACTAGAGGTAGCAAGGACAATTGTGTTAAGTTTTCCTAACTCTACTTTCAACTGATCTCTCTCTTCACTTTGTTCTTCTTCTCCCACAGGTTTATATTCAATTTTAAGGCACGATATTTCACTTCATTGAATGTAACATTTCTACTCTCAATGATTTTAACCCATTTTTTGGCATCTATCCCACAATCTGTAACCCTTTACACCCTTAGGGTAACCTAAAAAAAATACATTTTCTAACTCTAGGTTCAAGCTTTCCCTCATTTTGATGAGAAAAATGCAGCATAACCAAAAGTTCCAAGCACATAATAATCATTTAGTTTAGGAGATCATTTTTCATGAGGAGTATCACCATTCAATGTAGTAGATAGAATTAAATTAATCAAATAACAAGCAGTCATAATAGCTTCTCCCCAAAAAGACTTTGAGAAGGAACAATTTTATGCCTAGTTATTCCATTTTCTTTGCACAAATTGTCAAATTCGGTGTTATAAAACTCTAGGCCATTATCAGTTCTCAAAAACTTGATCCTCTTGCCAATTTGATTGTCAACTAGTCTTTCCCAATTATTAAAATTGGGAAAAGTATCAGACTTATCATTTAAAAGATAAACCCATACTTTTCTTGTGTAATCATCAATGATAGACAAGAAATACATATTTCCACCTGAGGAGGAACTATTAGCGAAACCCCATAAGTCCGAATGCACATATTCAAGCATGCCTTTAGTTTTATGAACACTTATGAAGAAGGAAGTTCTATGATGCTTACCAAGAACACAATGATCACAAAAAAATAAATTACACACACAGTCATTACCAAAAACACCTTTTTGATTAAGGAGTTTAAGCCCCTTAATACCTACACGTGCTAATATATTCTAATCTATTGTGCTATATATGTGTGTGATCAGGCTTAGCAGAAGAGATAGATGAATCTAAATCTCTTATTACTTCCCAGTAGTGATATAAATATCATTTGATCTAATTCCCTTAATAGAAATGAGCGCACCCTTAACCAATTTTAAAATTTCATTTTCAATTTTACTAGTGAAGTTAGCTTTCTCAAGTCTTCCCACTAAGATTAAATTCCTAGATAGTTCAAAAATGTGTCTAACATCTTTTAAAGTATATACAAAATCAGTGTCAAACTTTAAAGTAATATCACCAATTTCAACAACAGTATAAACAGAATTGTCATATAGCATAACATGCCCATCATTTAATTCATGCAAATTTTCAAATCAGTCCTTTTGTGATGTCATATGAAAATATGTACCAGAATCAAGTATCTATTCATGTAAATGAGAATTAACAGTTCAATTCAATTCAGGAGGATGAGCAACAAAACTTGTAATCATATAAACCTCACCATCATTAGTATTGGAAATAGAAGATGGTACATTGACTTCATCTCTTTCCTTACCCTTTAGCTTACCTTTCTCGTTATAACAATCTTTTTAAAAATGCCTTGTGCTCCCACAACCATAGTATTTCTTAATCTTGGTCCTAGATTTTGATCTAGACTTACCCTTGCCTTTCTTTTTACCTCTACTACTACTTGACTCACCACCACTCTGGAAACTATGACGACTGTTTTGCCTAAATTGAGTTGTACTCCTCATCATGTGAATCTCACTGCTTTTCTTTTCATGTTTTTGAACAAGTTCGTTAAAATACGTCTAAATTGTAATTAAGATCTTTTGAAGGATCTATTTTAAAATTGAAAAAAAAGCTTAAGTAAAACTTGTTCGGAGTGAATTTCCAAAATTCTTTAGTAGTTTTCAGTTTACCCACCGTTCTCAAAACAATGCCAGACAAGTGTAAAATAATTGAAGTATAAGCAAGCTCATTGTTGCGTTTTTTATATCGTAGTGTACGATATCGTAATAAATAGTATAGTGGACATTTGAGTCCGGATAACGATTTCACGAGAACTATATTTTAGGACTTAATCTAATTTGTCTAACTCCTATTTGATAAAAGCAAATAAAGAATTATGATAGTTGTGATTATTTTTTTTGAACTACATGAAAATGTCAAAATTTTGCAAACAACGGTTGATTGAAAATTCAAATATGAGATAAATATCAGAGCATAAATCAATCTCACTCAAATTTGAAGATGAATTGACAAGGGAGTCACCCAAAGGAGTAATCTAACCTTTGTGATTGGAGAACCCAGAAGGTTCAATAGATAGAAATAACGTGGACTGCTTGATTTGTAAAAGCATTATATTATTCGTGTTCAACCATATTTGATAATGCTAATGTCAGAAGAATTTGTTCCCAAATGAGTACCGAGGTACGAATTCTCATGATATGCGGTCACGCGCATCCTTGATGGGATTGGGTTACTCCCTGGCAACTCTTACTAGAATCAAGGCACGTTCTTTCTCCACCTATGGTCGTGTCCATATATTTCGGTATCCAACTCATGTAAAATTTATGTTTTAACACTTTTTAATTTTGTTAGGGAGTTAAATTCATCAATTCTGTCTCTTTTGAAGGGACTCTTGGACACCATGATAAACTCAGTATCAAATTTGACGTTTAGCCACTTCCAAATTTGTTGATTAACAGTTGGTATCAACGGCTTAAGGGATTAGCCAAGTGTTTAGAAAAAGAAAATCATATTGTATTGTTTTATAACTTTTTGACAACTATTAAAATGAGTTTTTTTTTTAGTAATTAGTTTTGAAATAGTATTTTTTGAAGAATGTGTAGTTAAAAAATAGAAAAAAATTTGTGTTTATGTGCAGAATATTTTATAGTGATAATGTGTAGTTAAAAATGAATTTGAGAAAAAAGGAATTTGGTTTTAATAATTATTAAATAGGAGTTTAATGCGAAGTCCCTTTTTGGAGTGTTTGGGAAAATAACGTCAACAACTTTTTTTATTGTAGTTGTCTTAAAAAATATCTTTAGAAGTATGGGTTTATAAGCCTAAAGACTCACAGAAAATCTGTACTTTGTTTTCATGTTAGAAGCCACCCTTCATGTCAACACTTCATTATTACATCTTAGTTTTAATAGAATGGGACTTGGGGGTATACAGGGATGGACCGAGCACCTGGCTAGCCCCCGTGGCCGCCCGTGCTGGGTCCGTCGGAAGCTGCCGATTCTCGCCACCAAGTTACCGTCCGCCAGGAAGAAGAAGGACTAAAGGAGAGCTGTTGCTGTCTCAGTTTGGCCTTCTTCTGAATTCCGTTTCTATCATGTTTTAATTTTTTTGGGCCTTACTTAAAAAAGGCCCAATTGAAACTTTTAAGTCCATTAGTGATTAGCCCACACAACTTATCCAATTTAACCAAATCCAAATCAACTACCATTTCCATTTACCCATTGTTTGTCCGACAGAGAGAGGTGGAGAGTAGCGAATGACGATTACGAACGAAGGCGAAATTCCTGTAGCTGAGTAGCTATGCCTGTGAGTCTTTGACTGTGGTCGATGGTCTGGTACAGACATGCAGTAGCTGGAGGCTGTCGACTGGAGCTTTGAAAATTGAAATCGAAGGTATTACCTCAAAAATCTTGGCATCTTAGTCTTGGATTCTTGAATATTAATCTTGCCCTTGTTAGAGTTGCGATTACTGATTTGTGAACTTGGATTTTTCTGTGAATTATGAATCTGTGAAGTATGTGGTGTGGACAATGAATCTGGATTTTGAGGGCCTCAAAGTTGAAATGAGGTTGTTTACTAGAAATATCTCTTCTTTTTGAGTTTTTGTGTGTGTTAGTGTTCTTCTCGTTGTATGGATTTTTAATAAATCTTGTAAATAGCATTTAGCTATCTCGCTTAGTATTTTATGGGTCACCTCGTTCTTGATATAAGTTCTTGAGAATGAAGTGGCCATCACTGGGTGCCCTGTGCACCGTGCTGCATAGTGCATTCTATTTTTTTTTTTAAAGTTTTTGTGAATTACGAATAATGAGAAATAAGAATTTATGGTATATTATTGTTTTTGACTTATAATTTTGAGTTGTGTAATGTGATTTGTGATTTGGGAATTTAGGGTTTTAGGAAATTAGGGACGGTTATAGCGATCATTGATTGTCAACGTCCACTAGTCAACGGTCTCCGCGACTCCGCCCTAGCTAAACAAATCTTTTGGATTCGCCCCTGGGGGTATATAAATAAATTAACAATAAGGAATATATTCATTAAGCAGCTTCACATCATTATTTGCCATACCATAAATTTTGTAGGCTCATCATCATTATTCTCCCAAAACCAATTTTGGGAATGACAGAAAACATCTTTAATCTCGTCATGTGTTAATCTCATCATGTATGCATCTCTTGCACTTGGTACAAAGCTGGCAGCACCTTTTCTAAGTGTGGAGGTTCTCGTCCCACTTGAATTAGATGGTGGATCAAATCCTGTGTTACTCATATCCTCTTGAGTAAGCACATCTACTGGGAAATCAACTAAGCACTCTAACATGAACAGTAGTCATAAAACATGAACTTCTATCTTGTAGCGTATTTTTTGATTGGGACTGAGGTTTTGATAATTATGTTCATTCCAACCATAGCATGCCTCAGGATTAGAAGGGTTGTAGTTGCACGCATCAATTAAAAATCCTTGATAATGAGCAATGAAAGGCCCTTCACTCCAGTCAACTAGTCCTACCCATTCAGTTTCGTTCCATACGTTTGCTTCTATGTGCATGGAGTTTGATGGATAACTCACTCCTGTATTTGTGTTGTTTTTGAACAGTCTTACTGGCATCCCATCTACAAAGAACCTATATAAACAAAATCAATAAAAATAAACTAGTCATGTTATGAATTAAATGTCAAATGATGTAATGTCGAGAGTAATGTAGTATGAAATAAAAAAGGAAATGTGAATAAAGTACTCGATTTAGAATTATTGCCTCTCAATGTGACAACAAAGAAGAAGAGGTGGATTACAATATGTATATAAACTGAGGTTTATCTCTAGCTGAAGAAAACTCAACAATATGAAAAGACCCCACACATCCCACATTATGGTTCATAGATGATTTATCAAGGAATTAGCGGCACATATAGACATATTAAAACTTGTAGTTAATATGCTATTATGTTTGAAGGTTAAATTTATATAAATAATCCCCTCTCTTATATTTAAACTTTTAAATGATGAGTGCATTCAATGAAATATAATTCAATATTTACGTACACTATCTGGTACCGGTTTCAAAAGAATTCATATTTGTGAAAATCCGTAGTAGGATCAAACTTGTTACGACTTATATATATAATCACCACGTGACATCTTATTTCAATGGTGGGGCCAGCCCAATTGAATCAGAGTGTGCTTTCCTGGCCTTTGACGTGTCAACCGAGGCCCTGGCTATTCCTAGGCCCTGCTACGAGGCTCATGGCACCACCACGGACCCGAGGCTCTTTTAACAGCTGTTGACCAAGTGTGAAGATTCACTCATGATGAAAATCTCTATTTGAATGATTGACGTGATTTGTGTAAAAGTTTACTTGTATATTGTCTTGTCAATGTAAGAGCATTTAATGTCATGTAAGGCTCGGAGAGTCAACTTGATGGCTATAACTTAATGTCTTGGCCGAGGAGATGGTGCCACGTGTAAATTGATCCAAAGGTCTTTATTTCATTTGTAACACTATAAATACCCCCACCATGTAACAGAAAGGGTTAATGAAATTCCAAATACTTGAAGGAATATAATTTCCCACCATTTCTCGTTTAACAGCATATTTCTACTACAAATCTTATTCTTTATTGATTGGTTTCTTATATAATCGTGTTACATTTATCTTGCAGGAGGCCCAAACGGAGACGTCTCGTGTCTTTGAGCTACTCCCACGTTCAGTTTCTGGAGCCATCCTGACTGTCGATCGGCATTAACGTGTTGGATCAATCTTACGTGTACACGAGTGGGCCTGACATCTGTTGACAACATTTTTTGGGGTCAACAGATTGGCGCCGTCTATAAGAAACCACACTATAACCACGAGCAACCCCGTGGAGAAAGCAGAGTTGAAAAAATATTTTGGGCATCCCCCTTTGAAAGAAGGATTTGTTTTTGTGAAAAGAATAAGAGGAAGCCCCCAAAGTCGGAAAATACTCAAGGTTCAGAGTTTTGAGAAATATGAGTTCAGAAGAAGATGCCCCTCCCAGGCGAACAAGGGAAACAGATAATGAGGCCCCAACGGCCCGACGCCGACCACATCACCACCATAGACAAGGTGGAAGGAGGTGGCAGCCTAGCTTACCAGAGAAAGGCGACAATGGCAGCTAATATGAGGAGCATCACCAACCAAAACTTGGTAATGCAAGAATTGCTGATGCAGATGCAAGGCCAGGGAGGTCGCCTGATTCCTCCTTATGTGCCCTAAGAGCAGTATCGGCCCGAAGAGGTACAAAGTCAAAGAGCTGGCCCTCCCCGGTGTAATAGGGAAGGAAGTCCTTTGGAAAGAGAAGTGGGAGTTGACATTTCCTCCAACCATGCCTCTGGCCGACCTACTGAGGCGTCGTTTAACATGGAGGACAACTTTCCTCCAGAATATGAGCCAGAACCCAGGCCTCAAAGGTCCGTCAGTGTGTTTGACAGGTTAAGCCCAGCTGAACTGAGGTGTAGACAAAGGAGTGTGGCTCCAGCACCTAGGAACAGGCTACAACCCCCATATCCTGAAAATTGGCAACCGGAGAAAAGGCAAGAATATGCCTCCCGGGTTGTACCGCCTAGGCGTGATCGCAAAAGGAGGGAGGAGGAGGTGGTAACCAGGTAGGACCTTCTGCACAACAGCCTAGACATGAGGCTGAAGTTAATTATGATTCGGATGGCCCACAAGGATCATGTGATTTGGATGACGATGA